AAAAAAAAAAAAAAAAATGAGTAAGAGAGAGTCCCATGGGATATTCCTACAGTTCCCAGATGCACAGTGGGAAAGACCCCATGTTGACCAACCCCAGGGGCCTGAAAACCCCGGTCTTCAAGGAGAGTGGAGGATACATGGACCCTGCCCAGACTGCTGGATGGGCTGTGCCAAGAGACCCAGCAAGGGAAGGGATTTCCTCCTGCCTCAGGTTCTCTGTTGTTCTGTGTTTAGACGACCTGAACCCAACTCCCTCCCCAAGCACTGCAGATAGGGCTTTTCCAAGGGCTGGGGATGTTGCTGTCCTAAGGACAGCTGAGCAAGGGGATTGAGGAGGAGCTTGGGTGGTGGAGGAGAGGAAACCGGGTAAGATGCGTGAAGCAGTCAGTCATACCAGGCCCAGAGAGGATCCGCTGGGACATAAACGCCTGCATGTGAAGCCAGGCCTTGGGCCACCTTGCTCCTCAAAGGAGTACCTACGTCCATGGGGTCTTCAAAGGGACTATGGAAAGAGAGGCCTTCAGCCCACATCTCTGAATGCTTTTCCACCACAGCATGCCCTGTGGCCTTTATCCTGCTGGTGTGGAACAGTCAGACCCCTGCAGGGCTGCAGAGCCTCTGTACCGGGCGGCATCCCAGCCTGAGTGCCAGAGCTCAGTGGGCAGGCCCCCAAGCAAGTAGAGAGGAGGCCACCTTTTGGACAGAATGTGTGGGACGAGAGCGACGGCTCATCCATTCAGGTTCCTCACAAAATGAGAGTCAGGAAGATCAGGGCGCAGACCTGATTTTCCACTCAGGGCTGAAAGCAGACAAACCGAGGGAGAGCAGCACCTGGGCCAATGAGGTAGAAGACAGAAGACTACAGGTACTCCTGCCCTCAACCTCAGCCCCTCCCACCCACATCCTCCAAGCCCCCTGACCACCTTCCTCAGAAGTGTAATAGGAATCCAGATTCCCCCTGTCCTGGTTGCTGCGGGAGGTACAGTGGCCTGATGGAGCCCGAGGCAGGTGTGGCAAGGTGTGGATTGTCTAACTGGAGGTTGGGAGTCCCGGGTGCAGAAGGAGAAACTTGGAGTGCAGCATTTGGTGGTATGTGTGTGGCAGTAGGCGAAAGAGACAACTAAGCCACTTGAAATACCTTGAGAATTCAAATTTAGAAAATTCCAGGGGAAGTATGCATGCAGGCATTCATGAGATCCAGAAAACAGCTGCTGCGTAACTGCACGTTGCAAGCAAGCCCTAAATTGCTGATTTTTAAACACCCTGATGCGTTCACAAAGACAATTTCTGAATAGTCTTAAGAGCAGAGGTGCACTAAAGCCACTGAGCCCTGCAGCCCAGGATCCCAGTAAGTTCTTTAAGGACCATTTATGGAAGATTTTTGGAGTTGTCCTTGGTAACCCCCAAGAATGTTTTGATTAGGAGTAGAATTTTAGATGTCATCAATTCAAAAATTAAAACTAAAATTCTGGAACTCATAGAGAAAATTAAGAGAATACATTCACTATCCTGAGTAGAAAGATTTCTTATAGAACATAAGAGGCTTTAAAAATAAAGGAAAAAAATGGCAACATTTCATCAAATTAAATGCTTTGAGAAGTAAAATTAAAATCCAAAGCCACCCAACCAACTGGACAGATCCCTTCTTGGCCAGGGAGACCCCAGGGAAGTCTTCAATACTAAGTTCCTGGCCTGTATTGGGAAGCTCAGACCCCTGTCCTTACACTCTCTCCCTTTGGTTTAGACACAACTGACCAGCATTATTGTTAAAATAGAGGTCATAGGACTGACAGAACAGACTCCTTACAGTAGTAAGATACCACATTATAAACAAGACCTAAGGCCATGCCAGGCAAGGTTAAGTCATGCACCCCTCAGTTTAAAGAATAAACTATGTTCTAATTGCCACAGGGTTTTTTTTTCTTCCTTTTTTTCCCTCTACCTAAACAAGCACAGGCCTTCAGATAAGCAATGCTGAAGCACTTGCAGCTCACCCATTACCATAAACTGACTGAGCCCTCCCAACACAAGCCATCACTACAGCTTTGATTGGACAAGACACTGATTTCAGTAACTTTCTCTTGATGAGAGACCACTGGCTGTGGACTGGTTCTGGGCAGTGCACAGAGGCTGTGCCCTGTTTCACTTTGGGTCTGAGACAGACATTTAATACATTATAATAAGCGCCTGTGCACAAGGTGAAGAGGAACACAAAGACAAGAAGAAG